CCTCGTGCGCACATCCAAGCTATATACTATACTCACCACTGATACACTCCTTTCTTCTCGCCAACTGCTACAGCTGCCGCTAAAAATATACGATACACAACTGCACGATGAAGTCCTTTGCTTTGCTCAGCGCCTTGCTAGGCCTCACCGTGGCCCTTCCGACAAAGGTCTTTAACCTTAGGCAGGTCAACGACAAAGGCTTCACCATTGCCCATCCCGGCGGTTCCAAGAACGTCGTCGTGGAGGAGGCCAACACCCTCAACGGCACTCTCACCAGCAATAGTACGGTACTCTTCCACCCGGGAAAGAGGCAGATTCCAGCCCAGCTGCCGCTCGAATTCGTCAACAACTTCGGTGGCTCGCAGGTCAATGCCTACCTCTCCGGTCTCGACTCCAACAACGCCATCGTCTTCCTCGCCGCCGACGGCTCCCTCATCTATCCCAGCTCGGGCGGTGCCGAGGTCCCCACGCTCATATCGGAAAACATTGCTATCCCACTGCCGCCTCAGGGCGAGACGCTCCGCATCGTCCTCCCCATCACCATCAGCTCCGCCCGCATCTACTTTTGCGAGGGTGACCTCAGCTTCTTCATGGTCAAGACGGCCACGGGCGACGGTCTGGTCCAGCCTTCGCTGAGTAACCTCGAGGATCCCAGCTCCGGCTTGAACTGGGGCTTCGTGGAGCTGACGTACACCAACGACCTCGTTCTCTTTGCTAACATCAGCTTCGTCGACTTTGTTGGCATGATTCTCGGCATGCAGCTTACTGTCACTGATGGCAGCGCCACACAGACTACCCATGGACTTCACTCCTCTGCTGTCAATGATATCTGCAACGATCTCTTGGCTCAGTCCTCTGCCGACAACTTCCCATGGCACAGACTATGCGTCGCCGACGAGTTCGGTCAGCCCATCCGCGTCCTATCGCCCAATGAATACAGCGTCATCAACCCGGCGGACTTCGAATCCTACTGGCAACCCTACGTCGACCAAGCCTGGGCGCATTATGCAAGCACGCCTCTGGTCATCAACACCCAGACCGAGGCGGGTGACATCAACTGCCAGGTATCCGGCGACGTGCTCAGCTGCGATGGTGACAACCGCGGTTACGCAAAGCCCACCGCTCGTGATATCTGGGGTTGCGACAGTGGCCCCTTTGGCAAGCTGGAAGGCGACAACGGCATCCATCTCGCCGTTATCCCCCGCCTCTGCTCTGCTTTTGTCCGCTCTACGCTGTTCCTCGAAGGCGGCCACATCCAGCCCAGCCTTGACTCTTCTCACTACTATGGCGCCGACCCCACTCACCACTACAGCCGCGTCGTGCACAAGTATGAGGTTGACGGCAAGGGCTACGCGTACTCGTACGACGATGTGAACCCGGATGGGAACGAGAATGCCTCGGGTGTGGTTTCGTCTGGAGCTGTCGATACGTTGACGATTTTTGTTGGCGCGCCCCCCGAGGGTTCTGCCCCGAGCCCTTGATTCCCTCAATGTCGATACGTGTATTCTTTCAGCGATCTAGGGTTTGCTTAGTGTCCTCTTTGTGGAAACTTGGAGTGGTCGGCTTTCTTTCTGGTTTTCAAATTGTATATGTCTTCATAGTCGGTGTATAGTACATACGTGTTTCTAAGTTTATCTGGTATCAATTTGCAACACGTTCCACAAGGGGCGCAAGGATTGGTCTATCGCCAGTCTCAAACGAAGATTAGCAGCCACTGTACTCGACATAATGCAGTCACCAGGACTTGCTTCCTATGTACAACACCCCGCATGTGAGCTGAGATTTACACCTCTCTTTCAGCTATTCGCTTCAACCTCTCATGTAATTTTCGGTAGTTGTTGTTGTCCCGTTTTCGGTGTACGGCGTCCACTTCAGCCATCCTTTTCTCGGCCTCTTGTCGTCTTCTCGACTCAGCGAAAGTTTTGCTCTTCTTAGAAGCCATCCTTTCCTTTCTTGCTTCGCACTTGACGCAGCCGCTATGTGAAGAAAAGTATTCGTCGGGGTGGAAGCGGCAACTCTTCAAGTGACCCTTGCGCAGACATTGGTCAGTCTTGGGTCGTTTGCAAATTGGGCTGTAAGCTATCAGTAACCGCGTGTTTTGCCTTGATGGAACTTCCACTTGCCAGTGATGATGTCCCATAATGTATCGTTTGGATTATTCAACAGGCTGTTTGTAGGTTCGTGGTACAGGGTCGTAGTCAAGTAAGCTGGATGCTTTGGCCAGTTAGGTAGAACTTGAAGTTGTCGTGAAGGACGTAACTTTTTATAATTGTCATTTCAACCTTTTCATGCTAGACAACCCGGCCGGTTTTCTTTACATTCTTTCTCCTGTCCGTCGAAGCATGTACCCATGTTGGTTTTCTATGTGAAAGCAGGGTATGTTCACTGCACAGGATTCCATTACGCACAGATTCGGTCTGTGTGTTCAGATGGGTCTTCCAAATGGGAGCCATATGTACCGCGACTTCAGGTACAGTACCGACGTAGAAGGCCAGTAGTCAGGGTGTTCTGCCACCGTGCGTTACCCGTAGACTTTTCCTTTTGGACGCTAGCCTTTGATTTCATTCTGCAAAGTACCAATGTACAAATGAACGTGCATTCAGTGGTTGGCATGGAAGTCGCCTTGGTTTCCAAAACAAAGCGGCCCCCAAGAACAAAACCAGAAATTCACTCTTCAAACAGTACATTCAAGAAACGTCAGTCATCTAACGTCCACTTACTACTGCAGTGCATCGTCGAAATTCTTCTCCCACTCTTCCAACCTGTCTCACAACCATCCAAGACCAAGATCCAAGCACTCGACTTCGAAACGCAACTATGTCTTCCGACGAAGACTACAGCATGGATCTTTCCGACGAAGAGTCCTACCATGGACAGTCCGATGAATACCGTGGCCGCGATGAAATGGACGTGGATGGTGAGCATTGGGGCTGATGCGATTCTTATGGTTGAACTGTCCCTTGGCTGACACCACTGATAGAAGAAGGCTCGGATGAGATTCGTATGCTAGTCGATTGCCATGCGGTGGCCATAGAGGCTGCGCGTATCCGTCACGAAATGACAACTCAAGCTTTGCCCATCAACGCGCCCTCACTGTCCGATACCAATAGTTTCAACTCCAGCATCGCGGAACTACCAGCTGTTGGTGATCGATTTCTGGACAATGACTACAACTTCTTCCCCATCACCTTCCACGACGGCGAACAGTGGATTATCAAAATCCCCCAGGCGGGAACGCCCGAGGAATGGAAGGATTATCACGAAATCGGCCTCGAGAGCGAAGCCAAGACACTGCAAATGCTGCAGAAACGTACGACCATCCCGGTGCCTACCGTCTACTCCTTCGACACAAGCTTGAACAATCCGCTCAAATTCCCGTACATGTTCCTGTCCGTCATCAAAGGGCTGTCCCTCGAGACGGTCTGGTACAATAGCGAGGATTCACCTGAGAGGCGTCTTCAGGTGCGTACTCGAGCCTTGGAGCAGATTGCTGCCGCCATGGCCCAGCTGGACGAGTTCGAGTACGACTATGGCGGTTCCCCCATCATCGAAAACAATAAGATTGTTGGTGTCGGTGTCGTTACCGTCCCGTTCGATGGACAGCATGGCTATTATCCAGATGGGCCTTTCGCCACGGGCAAGGGTTTCTACTTGTCTCATCTCAAGCAATATCCTTACGGTGCTCGGGGCCATCCTTCCATCGACGTCCGAGGACTAACAGGCAAGGGAGAGCGGCGTCTCACGCGTCTCTTTATCGATGAACTCTGCAGCCTTGAGCCTGACCTTTCCTTTGTCCTGAGTCATCCATACATGGATCTGTCTAGCTTCATTGTCGCTCCGGATGGCGGCCTCTTGGGAGTCGTTCAATGGGAAGGCGTCATGACTTGTCCAAAGTCGATGTCGAATAGGGCATACCCTGCTTGGCTGGTCGAAGATTGGGGTGTGTTCTGTCACGCTTGGACCGAGGAGCAGGACGAGCGACACAACCAAGAGGACGAGGAGGACGACTGTTTCGACAACCCAGCTGAGCTCACCAAGTATCGCAAGATCTACCGCGATGCTATGGCTGAAATCGCGCCGGGCAGCGAGATTCAGACGACAATTACTCTCGCCACGACAGCTCTCTACAGGTGCACTCAGTCTCTGGAGCACCGCTTCGACTACCTCCTCCGTCTGACAGAGGAATCCTTGCAGCTTGTTGATCCTATGGTCAACAAGGAGTGCATCCGCGCGGACTTTGTCAAGGCCTTGATCTCGTATGGTATCGAGCCAACTGAAGACGTCGTGCTGTGCATGGAGCAGTTGCGCAAGGCATTCCGAGCCCTACTTCTGAATCGAGATCTGTGATGAGGGAACAGGAAACAGTGCAGGGACCGCGGGACGGTACAGAAATCGTTGGAGAGCGCAGGAATCATGGGGAGCTTGGTGTAGCGTAGAACGCGCACAGAATAGAACAGAGCAGAACCTCTCATAAGCTAGGGTTGATACAAGACACAATATTTCAGGTTGAAACAGAACAAAGACTTGCTCTCTATATTGTTTCTAAGAACTTCTCCGCTAGCATAAGCATGAAAGAAGCTCGTAAAGAGGTGCCAAAGGACATCCCAGTCGACTTGGCATATCAGAAGTCCGACCAACCGTGCTCGGCCCCATTGTTGGACGAGTCAGATTTTCCATCAATGAAGTGCGCCGCGAGTATTTATTTCCAAGCTGCGTCAAATAGATCGAGGTCGCATGGAAACAAAGAGCCTGTGGTGATTTGACAAGGGTGAATGGGCTAGGTTAACCGACCCACGGTGATTAATCACACCTTAGCACGTGCTGTCATTTAACATTGTCTCGTTCGGCAACGGGAGCCAGGTTAGTAAAAAGAAATTGGCGACTCGGCAGCCTCGGACAAGACGGGAAAAGTGATTATGAAAACTGGAGACGTTCCAGGATAAATTGAAGACCCCAGCCAGACCAGGAGGAGCGCAACAGTAAGCGGAGCAAAAATAAATTGGTCTCGGTGAGGTTCGAACTCACGACCTATGCATAGCTTCCAATCATAATGAAAGTATAAGAACACAACGGTAACCACTCCGCTACGAGACCAAGACTTGTCCCGTTTGCCGTTATTCTGTACTATGATGTCTAGGTTGCGACCACGTCAGGTTTGATTCGACATAAAGTCATGGGCGTCTCTGTGGCTTGCTACTAAATTATGAGAGAGTTCGCGGGGACAAAGCATAGGTGGAAACATTGGGCTCTCTTTATTCTACCTTCTTTGCATCTACAGCAGGCTTCTGATGTGTATACTAGTTTGGGCGGTTCAGTATCCAAGTCCATTCTGAGCGCTACCTGCTGCTCTCTAATGTTCGTGTATGCTGTCCACTGTCTGTCCCGCTGTATAAATAACTCCTACTTGGTCTCTGCATAACTGTATCCCTCTACATGATGAACAACCTTAAACTCCCTGGGCTTAATGAACATTGGTTCTGTTGCCTCGAGGTACTCTTGATAGTACGGCTTGGTCAATTGCACCTTGATCTGTCAGTACTTGCACAGTCCAACGCATAACATCACGTTGCTGACCTCTACCAGCCACTCCACAGATTGAGACCTGCTTGCCGTTAGATAATCAACTGCTTTCTTCAGACTGCGCCTTACCAGTTCTCCACCCAATGAAGTGCGCCGGGATCCTCAGGGGATTGGTAAACCTCGAAGAAGCTACATTCCGGTTCCGCAATCACGGCTTCGTAAACCGGCTTAAAGAATTCAAAGAAACGCGTGACATTCTCTGGCGAGATCGTGACGCTGACGTGAAGACTGATACCCTCGAGAGCCATGTTGCAAGGTTGGATGTTGGTTTCTCTAGGGTCTGGGGGTAGATGAGAGGTTTCTTTTTTACGGGTTGGCAAAGGCAAGACTTCATTTTATAACGTCTGTTTCCCACGCAACTCCGCGGGTTGACGCCTGGGGAGAGGGGAGTACCAGCCAAGTCACCGTTCCTGTGCCTCCCTTCCCTCAAGGATACTGCTTACTATTGGTAAGCTTCAAGTGTTTTGCCCCGGTCGGCATGCTCCTCGGAACTGTAAGCCCCTCTTTGATATCTACTGTATTCAGATGGAAGTCACATGCTATTGGTAGTCATCTGCTTCCACCTTGTGCGTCGGGGCGGACATGCCAGGGTGCGGGACCGCATGCCGTTATCATGACCGATGTGGCGGTCAATAAAGGATGCCCGACACGTATCGCAAACTAACTCTCAATCTGGATACAGAACGACTACTCGTCTACCCGTGACTCATCTTGGCCGAATAATAGTGAATTTCCCTTATGTCTTGGTGTTGGTGGAGTGATGAAATTGACGGTGGGAATGGTTTTCTCTATGCTTTCGCCGAGAGGAGGCAAGGCCAACTGACCTATTTGGATGAGGGATTTATAGAAGCATTACTATGTGTAAGTCGCGAGTAGGAGTGGTTTCGTCCCTCGGGCAATCGTCTTGATAATTGATCTGTATTAATTTGGCTTGGCTGATTGCCTACCGCAATACTCTGGAACTACCACAGGCTTACGGACACCAGCAGAATGCCCCAAACTAATAAGTAGATGATATCTCAACCACGATCTAATACCAAGATCATAAAGCTGCCGCTGCTTCAGTGGGCAAGGGAAGGCTGATTCCATATTGCCATGCACAGATAGGCTGCTGTTCGCTCGTTCAGAATGCTAACCTACCCTAGATTATCAGTGTCTTATCCCACTATTGCGCCAACGTCTCTCTGGTCTTTGATGCTCGAAATTATAAGTCAGAGCTGACTGTATACCATGCTTGCTTCAAGTATAGCCTTTCCCCTTTCAGTGTAGCATACTGATCGTGTACAAGTATGAAGACCCAAACCGCGCTCAAGGCAGTTGTCCTTTCACATGGGCTGTCAACACTTTCGACCTTGTTATGCTTGGCTGTGGAATTGATATCATTGGTATTTTTCGCAGCATGTTCATTAAAAAGGTGCGAGCATGAGAGACTACGAGAGCGAAATGCTCGCAAGGGGATATCTTGACCGAATGCTAGAAGCTAGTGAAAGAGTATTCATTTTAAATATTAAATGTCCCCCAACGAAATCTTACCATTCTTTGCTACACTGCTGCTACACTGTAAATAACGAGAACGGGTACAAGACACCGATGATGGCGGATTCATTGACATACGACTATCAAAATGACATTACCAAGGCAGGGGAGTGCGTACAGGAGGTGAACGCCTTGGCTTCCTCTAATTCATGGATTTCTAGTATTCCGCATGCTTGGTGGGCTATCGGATATCGAGTCAATGCCCTTGCTCGAATAGAGCACTGTACTGGATGAACGCAGCACAGACGAACCATGGTTGCCTCCTATTCGGAAAGTTTTGGACTCGTAGTGCGTGGATAATACCAGCCGAAAATATAAGTGATCAGCTAGTGCTCGTCGGGGGACACGCCGTGACCTTGGCCATCGCTTCCTCGCACCTGACCGTGCTGCAAGGTTCGACTCAGCAACCATGCGATGCGCTCACATAGCTGGTGGTCTCGGAGCCGGGCTAGGATCGCTTCGCTCCTGGATCAACACCGGCAGTCTACGGCAAACATCTCCCGGGCCGCCTACAGTCTGTCATACGAAACGGTTCGCCATGCGTCAAGAAAGCCTAGGAGCATTCGGGCAAGGACGAACCAGAACCAACAGGGTGGGAGCTTACGACTCAGGGACCATATTCGACATCATGCTGAATCGAGATCAAACCCCCCTTTCCCCTCCTGCAAAAATTCGGAACAGCCCGCTGGCACTACCGGGCAGTTTGCCATACGGCTTGCCTTGCTGGGACAAGCGGCACCGGGTTATCCGACGTTGATGACCTCCTGTGTGATGAAACAAGGCAAAGTGCATTAGTTGTCCAAAAGTCAGGGGATTGAGAAATTACAGGCCGAAAGATGCCATCGTAATTCATTTTAGCAATCAGGAAGGAAAGATGTGTCGTTGGTCGCAAGCGTCTATCGTCCCGAGACCCCGCGACCCCGTTGCCACGGCCCTGCCAGGCTTCCCAAGTATATTGCTTCCCAGCAAGTAGCAACCGGGGCCCCAGATCCACGGACTGGGGCCCGTTCTCCTCTGTTCGATATCCAGCCTTCACCCGAGCGCTGGAAATCGGGGATTACAACTGAGTCCATGATGTGATGTCTCCATAGTAGGAAGCGGGAAGGATTCGATTCCGTACTCATCATTTCCTGGGATCACTATATCCCCTGCGCCGGCAGTGAGGATCGGCAGAGCATACCAAGGCTCACTACGCGAAGAAGAAGCGAAAATCGATCTCTGTTTGAAGCGAGCGTAGCTGCGTGCTTCCATGGAACAACTCCACGAATACTGATACTGCACACACATGGCCCGTCCGCCAAAGCGCGCCGCCCGCTCCTGACCAGGGTACTGTGCTCGGAAACGGGGTCACTGATTGAAGGCCGACGAGGGGTGACCGGGGATGCGCCTTCTAGAATAGGAGAAGAAGAAGAAGCGGAGAGCTGAAATGTCCCGGGCGCCCAAGCACACACACTCGCGTGGCACGCCTAACCCTAACGCTTCAGCTAATGACTCGAGTTGGCTACCACAAGCTCGCCGTGCTGGCCTGACGCGTCAAAATGTAGCGCATGGATAGGTCCACTGTACAAGCATCAGTGACAAGTTCAAGCCACAACCCATCTGATCTTTTCTATGGGGAAGCGGGATGTCTTCTACACGCCAGGTCGTTTGCCCGGAGCGGTGCGTAAAAAGCTTCAGCCATCCTCCTCCCCCCCGAGACCCGCGGTCCATTGCTCTTCTCTCACCATCATCTTCCCGCTGCGTCAGCTTCCCAAGGCGGATCTGGAGACATACATACTGCATTGCCGAACTGCCCCGAACTTCGATGAAACCGCTACTGCACCCCCAAGGATCGGCGTTGCCGCCGCGGCGCACCTCTCCACCAGACGACGACAATCCGGAGAACGATTTCACCATCATTCAAGAGATGAAAGAGTCGAATGTTTCGCGTTGCCATGCGCTGGTGGGGGCCGGTTCGGCAACAATGGAGACGTCGGCTCTCGCCGCTCGGTTCCAAGATGAAGAACGCAACAAGAGTCGCAAGCAGTCCATCAAGGAAAGCAGATGGGCCCTTGCATGGTGTAAGTTTAGGCAGGGCCAAGCCTGGCAAAGTTTGACGCCACCTTCTGACGCTTCTGACCACCCTAGGCCTTTACAGCTTCTTCATATGCATCATGTGGGGCTTCGACGGACTCGCCGGCAGCATTATCATCTCGATAGCGACCTTCAGGGAACATTTCGGCAATCTGTACCGGGGCCAGTATGTCGTGGATGCGAACTGGCAGCTGGGCTGGCTGGCCGCATCATTGGGTGGTATGAAGACATCGAAGCGCAGCAAGACGAAATCACGGCAGAAAGCTGACCCGTCGACAACAGGTATGGTCTTGGGCGGTTGGGCGGCCGGCCTCTCCATCGACCGTGTTGGTCGTCGGCCTGTGCTGCTGGCTGCCTACCTGATCAGCATAGGGGGTATATTTGGGCAGTTCTTTGCCGAAACCCCGGCCGAGTTCCTAGCAGGAAAGCTTCTGACGGGCATTGTAAGTCTGCTTGCACAAGCACCGTGCTTTCACACGGGGGAGGGGGAGCTAACGAGATAGCCTCTCGGGATTTTCACCACGGTCGCGCCCACATATGCGTCGGAAATGGCGCCGCTGAATATCCGCGGCTCGGTTACTGCAGGCATGAACTTCGCCATTGTTCTGGGCCAGCTGATCGGATACGGCGTGATGAGACAGGCCAGCCTCTATCCAGACGACCGCCAGTTCAGGGTTGTCATCGCTGCGCAGTGGGGGTTTGTCGGGGCCGCCCTTGTCGTCCTGCCATTCTTCCCAGAGTCACCCTACTGGCTCGTGGCGCATGGACTCGAGAACAAGGCGCGGCAGACGCTGGAGAAGCTCTATGACAGGGACCATGATGTCGAGGGCCACCTAGCGGCAATCCGCGGGTCGCTTTTCAAAGATGTGCGAGATGGCCGGTCCCAGGGCCGCATCACAGAGTGC